GACCCCTTTTAATACATGTTAACCAGGAGTCACTCTCATTTATAATCACGGTATCGTCTGATAAAATCAACATGCATGTACACTAAAGAGCGGCTATGCGGTTGTGTTGGCTATATTACTTTTTTGTCTCATGCAGCGCACTGCCTGCGTCTGAGTAACAAACTAAAAAATATAACAAACAAAAAAGTGCATGTGATATTAACAGACGAACTATGCTCATATTTATAATTCCAAACAATCAGTAAGCGACAGGTGCTAGGAAATGCTGTTTTGTACTCATTTATTGACGAGTCGGCTGCGGTGCGGCCAACTGAATGTGCTGCTTCTCTGCCGCTCACTGCACAGAACAGACGCCGAGAGAGGTGACACATCTCTGGGAAAGTCAGACCTCGCGTTCGCGGGACAGCACTGCGAAATCTTCCAACTGAACCATAGCTAAGGTTTATCCAAAAAGTCGCTAGGTTTGTCAGTATGAATATTCTATGGAAAAAAACGCTAAAAGGGTCTGAAAGTTGCTAAATCTAGTGCTAAAGTCGCGCTCGTGTGTGTGAGACGCGGGAGCTGATGGCAGGGGGCGGTGGATATTTGTGGCGGTCAATACGGATATTGTGGATGAGTTCTTCTGTGTCATCACGTTCTATTAGTTCTACAGCTTCAGTTTCGGAACTTTCATGCTTAGTAACACATACAGCTGTTCCCTCACCACAGTGCAACAGTGAAAAGGGACCCCTCTCAAACAGTGTCGTGTTCCGAACGTTGTTTAAGCGACATACAGCGACATATTGCGGTATTTTAAAAATTCATATCATAACAAAAATAAACACCGGTATTCGGTATGAACCGGTATACCGCCCAGCACTATCCCAAATGTTGCCTACTTTTCTGCTACACACTCAAAAGTAGGCTATATAGTTTTAAAGGAATAGTATAAGCAGACGAATTGGGATGCAGAAGTCGTCACATTAGACATATAATGTTGAGTGCATTGCCTTGTGGGTCACACTAATCAGGGTAGTGTGTTCTGTTGTGCACTGTACATTTTGACATTTGTAGCAGATAATCCAGATATTTTATGTATAGAACAATTTCTACATTTCTGCAATAACATTGAGTAGTGTTGTGCTAATCCAAACATGACCAAAAATGCTGAACTGAGCATGTGCAGTAGATCTGTGCTAGGAGGAAATGTAACCCAGAAAACAAAAACAAAAAAGGATGCATCAGTAAGCATATGTAGCTCATCAAATGGGCTTATCTGTTTAGAGTCCAACACTGTTTAGATGTTTACTTCCCCACTCTATGCAGAGCATTACAATCTTGTTGCTGTTGCTTAACTCTGTAATTTTGTATTTTTACCACAACAATGAATTGTCACAACACATTGTGTTTAGATGGTATAATTACAGTATCAATGTAAATGTTATGTAAGTGTGTGAATATGACCCTTCTGAATCGTTACTCTTTCTCAGTTGTCTTATGACACACATTGCTACATTGCCAAAGCAGTTTCACTTGAACCGCAGCCAAAATAAAAACAACAAAACTCGAAAGTGAACATTAAAAGGGGCATATTAATAACAATTAAACTACAAAATAAGGAAGAGAAAATTCAGTTCCCCATTTTTTTTAATGATTCCCAGTCGGGCATTCAGAAGTTTAGGGTTGGTTTTTTTTTTTTTTTAAGTATTTTATGGTCACCAAGGCTGTATTAATTTGATCAAAAATACAGTAAATTAGTAATAATTTTTTATTCTATTTTAATATTTTTTAAATGTAATTTATTCCTGTGATTCATGTTTTCTGAAGAAAGAAAGAAACATTCATTTTCAGACAGTTTAATATTTTTGTTGAATCTGTCACACTTTTTTTTTCTTTAGGATTCTTTGATGAATAGAAAAAAGTGTGTGTGTGTGTGTGTGTGTGTGAAATTATCTATAAACTCATAAAGTTAAAAAAAACAGATCTCGGTTGAAAAATATGTCTGTCTCCTTTTGTTTATGAAAGATAATCAGTACTGTTCATGCAAAAGTCTACATACAATTATATACTCATTTATAGTCATATGTCAATCTTAAATTGTTGGCACAGTCTTACAGTAATTTACAGAATAAATAAAGTGTACATTTATGTAAATCATATTCAGTAAATTTAATTGCATGCATGTAGAATCATAATCTGAATAATTGATAAATGTTAAACTTCTTGTTGAAGAAGTTTAACTGAGAGTTTAATTGAGTGATTTCTGTTTCTTTAGGCCTATGGCTCAGGCTGTGATATCGTGATCCTTGCAAGTGATTTTGAGTGTGTTCAAATTATTCCTGGAGCTCAGAATGGAAACATCCAGGTGGGCTGTGTGGAGTGCTCTCAGCAGCTTGGCCGGGTAAGACCATACTACACTTCTTACATTTACATTAATGCTTAGCGCAGACCTTTAATACAAAGCGCTGAACAAAGGAGAAATACTGTTTAGGATTCTTTGATGAATAGAAAAAAGTGTGTGTGTGTGTGTGTGTGTGTGTGAAATTATCTATAAACTCATAAAGTTAAAAAAAACAGATCTCGGTTGAAAAATATGTCTGTCTCCTTTTGTTTATGAAAGATAATCAGTACTGTTCATGCAAAAGTCTACATACAATTATATACTCATTTATAGTCATATGTCAATCTTAAATTGTTGGCACAGTCTTACAGTAATTTACAGAATAAATAAAGTGTACATTTATGTAAATCATATTCAGTAAATTTAATTGCATGCATGTAGAATCATAATCTGAATAATTGATAAATGTTAAACTTCTTGTTGAAGGCCAATCACAACGCACTGGATAGCTGGCCAATCAGAGCACACCTCGTCAATGTTGTAGCACTAACTTGTCTGTAAACCATCTTTTTGGTCTGCCTAGTTTTTAATGACAGCATAATGAGACAACAATTTGTATCTTTTAAACTTTGAAGGACTTACTTAAGATAGACCCCAAAAAAATGTTCACAATTTTATCACAAGTATATTTAAATAGTCTTTAAAATAGTTTTTTTTTTTAAGTTTAATTTTATAAAATGTTTGTATTTATTGTATTTGTTGAATGTTGAATCTGTATCTGCCACATAGCCTGTGATTCTTACATTGGAATAAATTTACATACATCAACATCTTGAAAAATATTCCTGAAATATAAATAACAAAAAAAGCATAGACAGTGCTACTGTAAAGAAATAGTTCTGTAACGTATTTCAATTATGAAACAAAGCAATGCTACGTAAGGTCAAAACATAATGTTGTACAGTACCAAACACTTAAACCGAGTACGCATTACAAGTGATGATAACTAGAGTAGACATTACTAAATCAAAATATCAGCTTTTGATTCAGCCAAATTGAAATTATTAGCTGGCCAATTAACAGAAGTGCTCTTGCTTATTTCAAAATATACCAACAAACATGTAAATCGGTGATGAACATTTTGATTTTGAGTAAATGTTGTATAAATGTTAATTTAAGTTTTGCAGTCTTGTAGTATATAGTCAGATAGTATACCAATTGCTATCATTTAGATGCTGCATCATTAGCTTCACCAAATGGAGTTGCACTTTGGCCATCTGTTCTAGATGGACAAAAAGAAAGTCCTGCCCAGGCTGGTTGGAGTGCTTCATCTAAAAGAGCAGTGTTTGGACAGCTCCACACGTTTTGGGGGAGTCAACTTGCAAATTGTTTTTAAGCCTGGGATGGAAGAGAGAAATGTAGCAAAACATATAAAATATATGTCTGTTGCAACCACATTCCAGACACAGGCATCAGTCACTGATGAGTAGACATTATGTGTTTGTGGATCTGATAAGCCACAACTCACTCCTGACAGTACGAACATGGATAAATGAAGAGATATATCCAGTTATGTTCACTGATTGTGTTTTTGACATGATTTTGTGTTCACAGTTTCTCCTTTCTAATGGTGGAACTGCTCTTTTATGATTATGTTCATTATAAATAATTTGTAAATAATGATTTATTTTGTAGATTGCTGCGTCTTATGGAAATACCGTTTGTATTTTTGAACCGATTGCTTCCAACCCAAACAAACGTCACAAGGTGAGTTTTGCACTGGAGGACAGTGGATCTTCGATCAGAGAGACTATGATAATAAAGATTACTATGGACATTTTGACAACTTTAGTAATTTACCCAAATATAATATATATATATATGCTTTCTATATTTTCCTGAGAACACTTAACTGAATAGTCATGTTTTACCAAAAACTCTTTATTAATTATTTTTAAGAATTATTCATCATTGATGTAATTTAATTATTTAGTGTAAAAAAAATATTTATTTAAATTCTTTTAATTTTTTAAAGCAACTGAATTACCAATGGCAGAAGACTGGTCAGTTCTTTCTCAATGCTATAACCTACAATCTGGCCTGGGACCCTCAAGGTTTGTTTGAAATATACACTTTGTCTGTGAATGAACTAAATGTTTTCAGTAGTTCCCTTTTTTCAACTCTGTTTGAGTCTTCTGATTAAATAATACATTTAGGAGATGTTTCTCTGACTTAAGTGCAAACTCTGGATTATTTATGTTTGAATAAGCAGAATAAAATGTGAAACTTGAGATTTGATAAATGGTAAATGATAGTGGTAGGTTGTGCAGGTTGCTTAGACTGGTTACTGCATAATAACACAGTGACTAACCATAATAATAATAATCCCCAAACTTCCATTTGTGTTGTTTTATAATTCTGATAACTTCCCTATTATTATAAAATGAGGGAAATATTAATAGTAATAATGATAATAATAATATAAAACAAGACAAGTGCACCCAAACTTTTGTTATGTATATGGTAACGTTAAATGTATATGTGTGTAATATTAATTACATCTGTTTGTCATGTAGGCAATCGTATCTTGGCGGCGACTGAGCGTTTGCAGCTGTGGGCTCCTCCAACCAGTGACACGCTGATAGAGGAAGAGGACAGTCAGCTGAATGATGATAGAGCTCATGAGCTGATGCTCAACGACTGGAAATGTGTCTGGCAGTGCAAGTGAGTGCAGCTTAAGATCTTAACCACACTTCTGTCTGCATACTAAATCTTTAATGTCGCTTGTCTGATTTACTGAACGTTAAAGCACATTTGATGAATTAAATTATTGAAATGGTTCGTATAATGGAAAAAGAAGGCTTTTACTTTTCTTAAATAAGATTTTTATGTAATATGTAGGTGTAATATTGCCCAGGGTTTTCTCAAGCTGGAGTTTGCGAGGGTGTTTGAAATTGGTATTTGAAAGGGTGTAAAAATAGCTGAAAATCTAATAATTAATTAAATCGACAAAATATTAGCAATCAAAATAAAACACTTTAAAATATTATAAATATTATAATTGGCTGCCCACTGCTCCGGGTGTGTGTTCACAGTGTGTGTGTGTAAATAATACATTTAGAAGATATTTCTCTGACTTGAGTGCAAACTCTGAATTCTTTATGTTTGGATAAGCAGAATAAAATGTGCGATTTCGTTTAAGATTTGAAGTGGTTAATGGTGCAGGCATTGTTTTTTTTTAGATTAGTTACTACATAATAACACAGTGACTAACTGTAATAATAATCCCCAAACTTCCATTTGTGTTAATTTAAAATTCTGATAACTTCCCTATTATAAAATGATGGAAATATTATTAATAATAATGGTAGTAATAATATAAAACTAGATCGTGCAGCCAAACTTTTGTTATGAATTAATTACATCTGATTGTCATGTAGGCAATCGTATCTTGGCAGCGACTGAGCGTTTGCAGCTGTGGGCTCCTCCAACCAGTGACACGCTGATAGAAGAAGAGGACAGTCAGCTGAATGATGACAGCGCTCATGAACTCATACTCAACGACTGGAAATGTGTCTGGCAGTGCAAGTGAGTGCAGCTTAAGATCTTAACCACACTTTTGTCTGCGTACTAAATCTTTAATGTCGCTTGTCTGATTTGCTGAACGTTACAGCACATTTGATGAATTAAAGGGTTAGTTCACCCAAAAATGAAAATTAGGCTGTGTTTTACTCACCCCAGAGCCATCCTAGGTGTATATGACTTTCTTCTTTCAGATGAATCCAGTCGGAGTTATATTAAAAATGGTTTTTCAAGTTTTTTTTCCCCATGTATTTTGCCAATTTTTTTTTCACTATTGCATAAATTAAAAAGCCAAAGTGTGCTTTTTATGGTTTTGTCTTGCTTTTCAAAAAAAACAATCAATTACAAAACAACAATTTAAAAATATTTAACACTCAACATTTGTAACATTCTAGCAGACACTATACCAACAAAGCACAATTTAACTTTAAATTTATAAGTTAGTAAAATAATCATTTTGAATGTTATAATAAATGTAATAAAACAGAGCTGTTGTAATGATTATTATCATTATTATTGTCTTACTACTTATTTTATTTTACAGAACAACAGTAAAATTACAATACTAACATTTATGAATGTTGATAAGAGTTCTTGCTTTTTCTCAACTTTTATTTTGGCGGAAACGCGCAGGAAGACCTCAATGCTTATTTTTGTTGACAACAGATTTATAAATGAGTCTCATTACGAATATGTCGTACGTATCGCATTGTCACATGCCTTGTAAATATTCATAAAAATGTGACTGAGCAAATGACAACTGTATCAGCACAGATTTTCCTCGCGCTTTGGACTTTGAACCCTGGTTAACAAGCAGATCTTCGTGCAGCGCTGTCAGAATACATGCAATGCACGCGTGTATTAGAAAACATAACATAACGTTCCGCGCCTCTCACTCTGCGCTGGTTGCTATTTGATCGCGTCATATCATTGTTCGGTACAATTTATTTGGTCTTTTCGCTTATATTTTCGGCCGAATAATTTCGGTTGCCGAACATTCGGTGCATCCCTAAAAAAAAGTGTCTCAGACGGCTCCGGGGGGGCGGTGAACAAAGGCCTCCTGTAGCGAATCGATGCGTTTTTGTAAGACAAATATCCATATTCAAAACGTAATAATCACTTTAATCTAGCTTGCGCCAACAGTTGTACATGGAAGCAGTTCCGGGCTGATGACGTATGAGGTCAGCGTTGCGCATGTTTTCCACAGAATTACACTCTATGTGTAGCAGCACTTTACCTGAGGGAAATATAGGCTATATAAGAAACAGCAGATGGGCTGATTGATTGAAAATGCAAATTCATTCTCTGTCAGCAGAGGGCGCTTTTCGAGCGGCAGAAATGGCGGTTTCCCTGGTAATGGCTGTAATCAAAGCAGCGCTCCGCTTATAAACACTGCTTTATCGGGCATTATGGGAAAGATTAAATGAAAATGACATTGAAACTTTTCTAAAGACAGTTCCTTTTAAAGATACATTAATTTAAAAACATAATTAATTATTAGTTTGCTACTCTGCACGCCTCCCCTGGCATGCTCTCGTGCTCCTCACTTTGAAAACTCCTGAAGTAGACAGACTCTGCTTGCATTCACGTGATTTGTCCAGATGAGAGGTAATTCACGTAGTGCTCTCTCCTGGGTAGTGTGATTTATATAGTGCCATTACTAATCACCCAGACCCTGATGCTTTTATTCTGAGTACTGTGAGAAGTGCCAGTACGCACAAAAAAGCATTTAAGATTAAAATACAGAAGTGCCGGTACTGTGTACCGGTGAGTACCGGCCCACTTTGAGCACTGGCCATGCCCCAAAGACTTACTGTAGATTGATCTGGAAAAAGATTCACTGATCTGAGTGGACCACTCTACTTAATGCTGCCTGGGAGGCTCAGTGTTTTCACATTTGTGGGAGATAAACCCACAAATAGCATATTTACCGTACGCATGAAAAATAAACTCTGTCAAGAGAATGTATTCTGACATAAAAATTCTGCCAAATTTCACCATTTAAAGGGGTCAGATGATGTGATTTTTATTTTTCCTTTTCTTTAGTGTGTTATGTAGCTAATTGTGCATGTGTAAGTCGCCCACAAATGGATTTATTCTATCTAAAAAAGAAGGCTGATCCAGACCGGCCTAAAACGCCTCATTCAAACACGCCCCCACATCTCTACGTCACGATGTGGAAATATTTGCGTAATGCCGCTAGGGTTGGGCCGATAGACGATGCCATCATCCATCGCCGATGGCTGACAGACATCACGATGTTGAGCCGGCATCATGATCTGTCCCAACAACCCCCACGCCCATACCCCCCGCAATGATATTACGCAGCACCTGAAAATAGTCCCCAGCACGCTCCCTGTGCAAGCAGGTGGTCATGTTGGTTATGTTGACGGAAGTTAGCCTATTTTCAGGCGCTGCGTAATATCATTGCGCCTGCTGCACCCATGGTACGGCAGCAAAGTTCCTTGATTATTACGC